TTCTTTATGTAACCAAACCTTAGCTACTATAAATATTTACAGTGTATTTTTATCTACGGAGAGTCCTGATATCTTAACTAGATCTGAATTCTTTCGTTAATTGTTGCTCTAACAAATCAAGTAAGTTCAACATAGCACTTATGTACTTTGTAATAGGTGTGTTTTTGCAACAAAAATTAATAGTCCGATGTGCAGTCGACTGTATAAAACAAAACAGTACTCCATTATCTGTTCTATGAGTCACAGTGGAAGGAATCACGGCATATTAACATGGTTGGTTTACATGGCGCTCGTACCTACCTTTTAAAAAAACTAATAAAACTTTATTTTTGCAAGTAGGCTTTTACACGTCCCTGTATTAATCTTACCACTGCTTCGGGACAATAAATGGACCAGTGCTGAGAAGAAGCAGCGCAAGAAACTCAGTCACTATTGTCAGCCTCTTTTTCACCATTCAACATTTTAGTATGGTATATTTTAATTGCTTCATCATCATCAGGTCATTTAGTATCCACTGCAGGAGCACACCTTAATATTTTATGATTTAAATTATTTGATATTATAAATTAAATTATAATTTTATGCAAAAATCAATTGCGTGTTGACGGGCGATCATTTCCTTTTGCCATTAATTACCTAATTACTAAACTCGTGTTTACTTTTAATTATAATTAAAGTGAAACCTATCAACAGTAAATAATGATTAGCGAAAGACAGTGACATCATTATTGCAAATTGGTATTTGACAGCAGAAATCAATCATTCCAAAGTTTTATACAACCCGGTCTAGTTACTGCGCACTTTGCAGCCGTGACGTGACATCGACGCACTGAGGGGCTACTCTGAAACACTGTTTACGTAGTTTCGGGTTTGTTACCGTCGTTCGCGCTGGCATCCCGCTTTGCGTGAGAGGGATGGCAACATTCGAAACTTCGGATAACGTTTTTCGGAGTAACCCCGCTAGTACGGACGGAGCGAACGTGGGAAAGTGTAAGGGAGAGTCTCATTCCAGCGTGGTTCGCAGTTAGCTCGATCGAGTTGTAAAAACACTTCATTCTCGCGTTAAAAATGCAATTAGTTTTCAATCAAATGCGAATTACGTTTTTTGATTGCTTTAAAATTGATCAACAGTTGATTTGGCGAAATAGTGACGTCATCATCTTTACCCCTCGTGATAAATTGTGCCACGATAGTCGAGCGGCGTTTATAGAACCCGCGTTCCTCGGATCACGAGTCGACAAGTTCGACACCTTTACTGTTCGACTATCGTCGCTTCATCTTATCCAGTAGTAGAAATCCTTTGGTTGAAACGAACGATTACTGTTTATTTATAGATCGTGTCATCCACGATGACGCGTCTCACCAATTTTTAGTCGAGGGAAGCGCGGGGTGCGGGGAGTTTGATCCGAACAATTCGAGCGTCATTATTGTAGTGTGCGTGTGCCAGTAAGTACCGATAACACTCACACATTCGCGGAAGAATGGTGGGGCGCGTCTAAATACATGCACACTAGCTTTTGCCCGCGGTTCCACCCGTGAGAAATTTAGTTTGTCACAGATCGTCATAAATTATTTATAGCCTATATGTTATTCTGGGTTATAAACAATAATACTGTAAAGTTTCATCAAAATCCGTTCAGCAGTTTTTGCGTGAAAGAGTAACAAACATCCAGACATCTAAACTTTCGCATTTATAATATTTGTAGGATTAGCAAAATTACTATAGAAAACTACGAGTAATTTAGCTAGCGACATGTAAACCAAACCTAAGACACCAAGGTTCTTTTAGCAGCTCAGTAGCGTGCCAAATGAGATATCGGTCAGTTGTGCGCAAACTTTTCTGAACAACCTTTTTCGCGCGCAAAATCAAAAATGGCCGCCTGAAAAAGTGAATATTCGCGGGATTTTTAAATCCGTTTGAATCGGAAACAATTGTGAGTGGTTTATGGTGTATTTTGGGTTATGGTGATGGTGGAAGAAGGGTGGATGGTGTAGTGGATATATTTTTTGGATTGGGCCTGTTTTTGGATTTGAATGGAGTCACTTGAAGGTAGGTTTTGGAAATTGGCTTTTATCACCTGTCTAACTACGCTGAAAGGAAGTCGAACCTTAACTTCGAACTCAATGTTCTTCTGATCTATTTCGTTGCGGGTCCAATGACAGTTTAACTTTCCCCTGGAACAAACCCGTTGCGACTTATGCTATTAAGGAAAAATCTGTAAAAAATTAAGATGTACAGGAGGAAAAAATAAGGACAGTGTAAGTCACTCTGGTACAAATCTGTGTAGTTTGATCACGTACTCAAATGATATCATGTATCATTCATTAACACAGCTTGTAATTAACGTATCCTTCTATGTAGTAGTTCTTGTAAACAATAGAATAGGATACAGAATTGGATATCATAACACACAAACTTAGTGTACTATGATGAATAGTTATCATTGTAAATTGTAAGCTAAATAAAGTGTTTCTTAATAGGTAGCAGACCATAATCTCTATCATCTAAATAATATAACTCAAAGGTGACTGACTGACTGACATAGTGATCTATCAACGCACAGCCCAAACCACTGGACGGAGCGGGCTGAATTTTGGCATGCAGGTAGATGTTATGACGTAGGCATCCGCTAAGAAAGGATTTTACAAAACTCCATCTCTAAGGGGGTAAAACGGGATCCACGCGTACGAAGTCGCGGGCGGCCGCTAGTTACCTAATAATTCCAAGGCAATCTGTTAGCGATGCGGTTTGCTATCTTTCATCGTACGGTCAAATCGCATCAATTCAATATAGACCGCCAATCAGTCAACAAACCAAATACATTTCATACATGATGCGGGCTGCATTCGCATTCAGTGTGGCAAATCCTTCAATTCAGTCATTCATTGTATTGCGTTGCGATATCTTTGCAAAAACTTTTACAAAAATATTTGCGGAACGTATAATTTTAGTAGGAAGACCGTACTTATTGATTTATTTTGCAAAAAAAACTCACCTGACCTTTGACTTAGACCTAGACCATAGACCCTTACCAGGGCACCCTACCACCACCTCAAGACAGCATATGGGCTGGTACTTGAATAAACATAAGTGTACATATTTTGAAACATCACTGTGAGCAGCCTGACACATCCATATTGCAGATGACTGACAGATCTTTGACATTATCAAGCTCAATAATTAATTAATTGATGGACATTGAATTTGAAACAAAGAGCGGGGGAACAAAGGCATAGTAATTAGCAAGTTGGCCGCTGGGGCAGGAAAGTTCTTGAGTGGCGACTACGAGCTGGAAGACGTAGCGTGGGCAGGCCTCCCACTAGGTGGACCGACGATCTGGTAAAGGTCGCGGGAAGTACCTGGATGCAAGCGGCGCAGGACCGGTCTTTGTGGAAGTCCTTGGGGGAGGCCTTTGTCCAGCAGTGGACGTCTTTCGGCTGAAACGAACGAACGAACGAATTAGCAATTAGTATCTTTGGAGATAACGCCAGAGTTACGATGGGTCAAATAGGGTATAGTGTTTGTAGGGTAAAAGCTTTATTTTGTATCTGTACTTTCATAGAAAAATTACATTTTCACAATTAAAACACTGAGCCGGTTTTATAGGAAATCAAGAGGAAACGGTGGGCAAAATGGGAATAGAAAAAATAATACTTACATTTGAATTATTTCATTAAATTCCTACCAGTCTGGGGACAAGACTGGTGGGGAAAACGGGAATTAACAATCAACCGGAAAAAAACAGGAAATTCTTTATGTAACGGATCGAAATGACAATATTTTATTAATGAACATACACTGGAGGGGATAATACGGTTAGTTAAATGAAATTACAAGTTTTCATAAAAGTCTCAACAAAATAGAAAACAAAACAAGTAAAAAAATCTTGTAGAGTTCATATTTCATGCGGTTATACAAAACAGTGACACCTGTCACATTTCCAACGTAAATAAAAGATTCTCAAAAAAAAAACTAATGAAATGTTTTTCCACATCNTCATCTTCATAGAAACGCACGGGCGCGGTTTGTATGTGAGCGCGCCAACACGTATGCGGCGCGCACGCACACACTGACAAAATTTAGCGGGGATTAGCGGGGAGCCAGTCGTGGTTGCGCCGAATTTTGTCAGTGTGTGCGTGCGCGCCGCATACGTATATTGGTGCGCTCACATACAAACCGCGCTCGGTGCGTTTCTATGAAGATGACCTACTCATTTGTATTTACTCTGATAATACTGCTGTAGACTACTCTTCAACGACTTTGTACTAAACGGTCTCGATAACATTGTAAAATATAGAATAGATAAAATTTCATACAGTCCACTCTTTTCATTTATAAACTTCCACTACACACACTATTGAAGTAACATTTGGTCTAACGCTTAACTGAGTGCCTGAGGTATGGGTGTTTTTTGTATCGTCAAATGTCAGCGAGACTTCAATTTCGTATGATATCTTGTTTATGTTACCCCTCCCGTGCCGCTCTCATACCTCAGGCACTGACTTAGTTATGCACAAGCTGTGAGAAATTACTCATAAGTAGTGATTCAATCTTCGACTTCACAAATCAATGTGATTCATGCCCGTATCAGGCCTGTTCATCTCCGCGAGTTTACATCGAAAACAAAACACGCAGGATGGCCCACCTACAGGATACTATTCGACAAGGCTTCACATACGAGCAAACATTGACTCACGCACGCGTATTCTTGGTATTATGGAAGAAAATGGTGTATTTAACTGTGCAGTATTAAACTGCCTAAATAATAATAAAAACACAGAATGTACTTTTTTAAGTTGCCTCAAGATCGTTCGTTCGTCGTCGTCGTATGTGAATACGGGCGTAAGTGTGTTCCTGTTTACTATAAAGATAAGCGTATGTCTTTAATGGTCCTTCGAGCCGGATCGTAGATATTATGTTCGGCTACCCGTAATTCGCATTTTCTTTTCTATCTGTAGAATACAAGAGTAATACAGCAAATACTGTTAAACTGTCAAGCTCACCCGGCTCGGCAGCACGTCTCGGCGTCGCCCTCGCTGCGGATGGAGTCGCAGGAGGCGTGCAGCCAGCGGTTGCAGGCCTCGCACTGGATGATCAGCTCGCCGTCCGAGTATGGCTCCGAGCACACGCAGCACATCACCAGAGACGCGCACGGGGCACACTCTGAGGGGATATTATTACAAAAATATTTTTAAATCTCTACAATGCCGGTTAAAACACTGCACTGCGCTTCGTCATGTAGGGCACCTGTCGAAATATTGTCGACTTGCGCAGGGAAGAACACATTAGGAGCCGCAATAGTGCACGGGTTATTTATTTATCTTTTTGTGTGTCACGTGGTAGCGTGTCGTCGGCAATGACAAATGACTGTCTTGACTTGAATCTTCACATCAAGGCAGTTATACACTGCACAGCGCTTCCAACGCAAATTCGAACTCACGTATAATAACGAGGCATCAACACGTTAAGATCCGCGCAGTAGCGCATGTTATTAGTCTTTGTGGGTGCCAGGTGATGACGTAGTCATCGCCATCGCTGGCTAGCGCAGCTAGTGACGTCACGTACCCGTGTAGTTGTCGCACCAGGCCAGCGTGTCGCGGGTGCCGCACACGAGGCAGCGGCGGCAGCGCTCGCAGCGCCACGGGCCGCGCGGCACGTCGGCGAGCGGCGGCGCTAGCTAGTGACGTCACGTACCCGTGTAGTTGTCGCACCAGGCCAGCGTGTCGCGGGTGCCGCACACGAGGCAGCGGCGGCAGCGCTCGCAGCGCCACGGGCCGCGCGGCACGTCGGCGAGCGGCGGCGCTAGCTAGTGACGTCACGTACCCGTGTAGTTGTCGCACCAGGCCAGCGTGTCGCGGGTGCCGCACACGAGGCAGCGGCGGCAGCGCTCGCAGCGCCACGGGCCGCGCGGCACGTCGGCGAGCGGCGGCGCTAGCTAGTGACGTCACGTACCCGTGTAGTTGTCGCACCAGGCCAGCGTGTCGCGGGTGCCGCACACGAGGCAGCGGCGGCAGCGCTCGCAGCGCCACGGGCCGCGCGGCACGTCGGCGAGCGGCGGCGCTAGCTAGTGACGTCACGTACCCGTGTAGTTGTCGCACCAGGCCAGCGTGTCGCGGGTGCCGCACACGAGGCAGCGGCGGCAGCGCTCGCAGCGCCACGGGCCGCGCGGCACGTCGGCGAGCGGCGGCGCTAGCTAGTGACGTCACGTACCCGTGTAGTTGTCGCACCAGGCCAGCGTGTCGCGGGTGCCGCACACGAGGCAGCGGCGGCAGCGCTCGCAGCGCCACGGGCCGCGCGGCACGTCGGCGAGCGGCGGCGCTAGCTAGTGACGTCACGTACCCGTGTAGTTGTCGCACCAGGCCAGCGTGTCGCGGGTGCCGCACACGAGGCAGCGGCGGCAGCGCTCGCAGCGCCACGGGCCGCGCGGCACGTCGGCGAGCGGCGGCGCTAGCTAGTGACGTCACGTACCCGTGTAGTTGTCGCACCAGGCCAGCGTGTCGCGGGTGCCGCACACGAGGCAGCGGCGGCAGCGCTCGCAGCGCCACGGGCCGCGCGGCACGTCGGCGAGCGGCGGCGCTAGCTAGTGACGTCACGTACCCGTGTAGTTGTCGCACCAGGCCAGCGTGTCGCGGGTGCCGCACACGAGGCAGCGGCGGCAGCGCTCGCAGCGCCACGGGCCGCGCGGCACGTCGGCGAGCGGCGGCGCTAGCTAGTGACGTCACGTACCCGTGTAGTTGTCGCACCAGGCCAGCGTGTCGCGGGTGCCGCACACGAGGCAGCGGCGGCAGCGCTCGCAGCGCCACGGGCCGCGCGGCACGTCGGCGAGCGGCGGCGCTAGCTAGTGACGTCACGTACCCGTGTAGTTGTCGCACCAGGCCAGCGTGTCGCGGGTGCCGCACACGAGGCAGCGGCGGCAGCGCTCGCAGCGCCACGGGCCGCGCGGCACGTCGGCGAGCGGCGGCGCTAGCTAGTGACGTCACGTACCCGTGTAGTTGTCGCACCAGGCCAGCGTGTCGCGGGTGCCGCACACGAGGCAGCGGCGGCAGCGCTCGCAGCGCCACGGGCCGCGCGGCACGTCGGCGAGCGGCGGCGCTAGCTAGTGACGTCACGTACCCGTGTAGTTGTCGCACCAGGCCAGCGTGTCGCGGGTGCCGCACACGAGGCAGCGGCGGCAGCGCTCGCAGCGCCACGGGCCGCGCGGCACGTCGGCGAGCGGCGGCGCTAGCTAGTGACGTCACGTACCCGTGTAGTTGTCGCACCAGGCCAGCGTGTCGCGGGTGCCGCACACGAGGCAGCGGCGGCAGCGCTCGCAGCGCCACGGGCCGCGCGGCACGTCGGCGAGCGGCGGGCGCGCGCAGTAGGTGTGCCACGTGGTGTCGCAGTCGTCGCACAGCAGCAGCAGGTTGTCGTCGCCGCGGCTGCCGCAGCCCTCGCACACCGTGCAGTCGAGGCAGCGCCAGCCCAACGTCACTATCACTTGGGACACCTGACGAACGAATCGTTTTTTAGGTTAGTTCTGTCATGGAAATCAATAATGCTCACTTATCACTGTTTGATTCAAAGGGAAAGCACTAGTGTCTTTCGAGTGTCGTAGTCTTGCCAGCGCCTGCGCAGCGACGGAAAGAGAACGAGCCGAACGCCGAAACTACGCAACGCTAGAGTCGATTCCGCATGGCATCAATGCTACGTACGGGACGATCGAAAGTAGCTAGTTTGGGGAGGCTAAAATAATTATTGGCTTAAAATCTATTACAATGAGAAGTATGGGGTTGTTTCATTGACGTTTTACTGCGCGCGTAAGCTGCATTTAAACACAATAGTTTCCGAGTCTTGACATCCTAATACATACCTTAATATTAACGCAATAAGGGTGATACGTCTGTCCGCACTGCGCGCAAGCAATGAGGCAGCCCTCGGAGTCGGTTCCGACGGCGCCACACATCACGCACACGTCTTGCGTCAGCACGAACTTGTCTTTGCTCGAACAGAGCACCAGTTTGTTCTCCATTGCTGTAACATAAGAAAAAGTTATAGATGGATGTGTACGAGTCAACTNTGAACGCGAAAGTTTAAAATCTTATATTAAGGTACATGGTAGCAATCCCGTCAGTAATAATAATTATATTCTGGAGCTGTTTGAAGCTGAACCCGTTACCTGAAAAGTGACTGAGTGACTTGCGCTGCTTCTTCTCAGCACTGACCCATTTATTGCCGAAGCAGTGGTAGGGTTAAAACAGGGACGTGTAAAAGGGCTTTAAAAAAGCTTCCTGAAAAAATACAATTAGTTTTATGAGTTTTCATAGAAGTAAAAGTCCGTACTGTCTTTGTGGAGCCTCTTTTTCATGTTCACATGCGTGGGCTTATTCCATTATTCCCCGTTGACAATCCCCGTCAAAACAAAAAGTTCACTAATCCCCGTTAACGCCAATTGCAGCTTATATTAGGATTTTATTTTGAATGTTATGGGGATTAATGAACTTTTTAGTTCATTATTCCCCGTTATAAGTTCCAATTTAACGTTAACGAGGAATAGTGAACAAAAAGTTCACTAATCCCCGTTGACGGGGATTGTCAGCGGGGAATAGTGGAATAAGCCCATGCGTGGTATTGCATCAGATGCGGCGGCGTGCCTCACTCGGCGCTAGTCCGCGTGTGGATATGTGCGCTATGGCGGCCGGCGCCGGGGGCGACGGCGCTATTGGACGCCGCGTTGCGCCCGCGCGATCTTTGGCAGCTGAACGAGTTCGCGCAGCACCAGGTAGCTACAAGTGTTAGGTAGGAACAGATGCAGCATCGTACATCATTCGGCGCTAGTTCCCGTGTGGATATGTGCGCTATGGCGGCCGGCGCTACTGGACGCCGCGCTGCGCCCGCGCGACCTTTGGCAGCTGAACGAGTTCGCGCAGCACCAGGTAGCTACAAGTGTTTGGTAGGAACAGATGCAGCAGCGTACCCCATTCGGCGCTAGTTCCCGTGTTGATATGTGCGCTATGGCGGCCGGTGCCGGGGGCGGCGGCGCTACTGGACGTCGCGCTGCGCCCGCGCGACCTCTGGCAGCTGAACGAGTTCGCGCGTAGCTTACAAGTGTTAGGTAGGAACAGATGCAGCATCGTACCCCATTCGGCGCTAGTTCCCGAGTGGGTAGAGCGCGCTATGGCGGCCGGCGCCGGGGGCTGAACTGAACGAATTCGTGCAGCACCAGGTACGGTACTATTCCCACCTCTCGTTCCTACCGCTGCAACTCCTGTGTAGCCAGGATCTACATCTTGACCGCCAATGAGGATCAGTACTGTTGTAGAAAATTCAATAAAACTAGTATCTACGTTAATCTTTAAGACATAAGAAAGATATATCTTTTTGAATTATCCAAATCGAACCATTACTTACGAAGATATTAAGTAAAAAACACAGGCCGTTTTTGCCGCTAAAAGTCAACGTACGCAGGGCCGCGTGACGTCACTATATCCGAATCGAGCGTAGCCGGCGTACCCAGCGTGCCATAATCCGGCTGTATCTCCAGGTCACCTAGATACATTCCATAGCAGCTGTAATAGACATTTAGGTACATACATTTACCAATTTTGGTGATAAATAGGCATTTTGTATTAGTTTTTGTATGACGCCTGAACTAAAACAAAGGGTAATATTTTGGTGTTATACATAGATTTCGAATATAAAAAATATAAAATTTAACTAATTAAGACATGACAAAAAAACTGAGGTATGTCTCGTTTCTGTCGGGCCTGGGTCACAGATGACCGTTCTTCTTTGACTTTGACTTTGATCTTCTTCGCCTCGTCTGCCACATGTTTTAAAAGTTGTGATTTTGAATTATTTTGGAATGGTGTCAAATCTATTATTTTACAATTAAACTTGTGCAGAACGAAGACTGGGTCCAGCAAATGAGTGCGGCGATTCGCGCGTCGTCGAGCGCGCCTCTGCTGAGCTATGCCGCGCTGGGGGCGTGGCTGGTGCGGCGTGAGCTGGCGCCGGCGCTGCTGCCGCGCCTCGAAGCGGCTTTGCTGGCCCAGCGCGCCGGCAACCAGCGCATACACGTTGCCAACGCGCTCAGTGTAACTTTTATATTTTACTAGCGGCTGCCCGCGACTTCGTACGCGTGGATCCCGTTTTACCCCCTTCATCTACATAGATTATTAGTATTATACTTGAAAATATAAGTAAAACTAATAATAATTGTGTAAGAATCATGAAAATATCTCTTCAAATAAAGATTATCGCGCCATTTTGATCGGTGTAGTCACGACAGTCATTCGGAATTTTATTATTCATACTTGATGGCAACATTCACGGTTTGCATTTATTAATCACCGGATTCCACACTGGTGATCGCCTGCAACATCACTCAACTCATTAAGAGCGTTTACGTCTAGCGTGGCATGTCAAGTTTAGGTAATTTCGATGCTATTTTTATTCACACTAAAATAATTGTGACTGTGTGCGTGTTCTCACGCTCTATAGTCAAACCAAAATACTTTGATCCACCATCGTAAAAGTGTGCCAGGCTGTCAAGTGACAGCCCAAAGAAACTATNTTATTTATGCCTATAACATATTTGTAGTATTACTGGTTAATGATTGTAACGAGTTGAAAAAGTACTGTTTTTGCGCCAAACGGCGTAAACGCTCTTAACGAAAATAGTGATTCTCGTATTCACAAACGATGCTTGCTTAAGTGAAGCAGCAAATCGAACGCACAGCGTTGAATAGAGCTCTGTGATTGGTTCGTGTGTCACCCTGTGCGTCCACGCGCACTGTGAGACCTCAGAGTTTGTGAATACGGGCGTATGAACCGTTTTTCACATCATTAACGAAAATAGTGATCACTTAATGTATTGGCAGAGTTCTTCCACGAAAAAAGTGTTTTGCGCAAAAACAAAACATTATGACAAGGTGAACAGTCTTATGCAGTTGTAAATGTGGTCGATTTTGGAGTAAAAATATAGTCTGATACGCTGTTGACTGTAGGACAGAAATAGCTCCAATTCCATTAGGCACGCCTTGTGACGTCACGGCCCTAAACGGTGACTCATGATACAGATAAGACCACACTAGGGCTTTTTATCAGACTTCTAAAAATAAGGCTCAATATGAATGAAAAAAAAATGTATAAATCTAAATGATAAGAGTGCATTAAACTTTATGTTTCGCTGCGCGACCTAAATATTTCTTGTAAATTGTATCCCATCAATATACTAAACGTTCGTCATCACCATTTCAGCCACTGGACGTCTTATGTTGGACATATTATGTCCACCTTGTGTTTTCCGGTACGTGGCCTCCACTCCAGAACCTTGCTGCCCCATCGACAGTCAGTTCTGCGTACTATGTGCCCTGCCCATTGCCACTTTAGCTTGCTAATCCGTTGGGCTATGTCAGCGACTTTAGTTCGTTCACGAATCTCCTCATTTCTGATTCGATTTCGTAAAGAAACACCGAGCATAGCCCTATCCATAGCACGATGTGCAACTTTGAGTTTCTGTTATTTGCCTATAGTAAGAGGCCACGTTTCCGAATCATAAGTCATAACTGTTGAATTGTTTGTTTGTTGAATTCAGTTAAAAATATGCTTTTAAAATCAGAGGCAATATTTTTGTTTACCTACCGGATCCAACTGATTATGTTGTGTGTCCTTTATGGCGTCTAGTCAGCAATGAGTCAGGCAGGGGAAGTGATATGCAGCTATCATTAACTCGATGACAGTATGTTGCTATGCTATTAAAGACAATGCAGTGGCTTGTCATGGTCTCTTCGTATATTTCAGCCAAATAACGTCCACAGCTGGACAAATCCCTTTCCCACCGATTTCCATAACGTCCTGCGCCGCCCGCAGCCAGGTATATATAGCATAGCCCACAGAATTGCTATAGATTTTTTTTATCCACAACGAGGAAGCTCTTGGCCTGTATCTCACCTGATGGTAAGTGATGATCAGGCCGAAGGTGGAAGCGAGCTTCACCCGGTTCAGATCGTTTTCTCCAGGAAGACGCGTCGCACCATTCTTCCGCTAATGTTTGTGTGTTATCGGTGCACGCTAAATTATCTATGAGTGCACACGCACACTATAACAATGACGATCGGATTGCTCGGATCAAACTCCCCGCACCCCGCGCTTCCCTCGACCAAAAATTGGTGGGGCGCGTCTTCGTGGATGAAATGATTTATAACATAAAGTGGCAGTGCCAGCAGCAAAATTTCTCGAATGGTGATCACGAGCTTGAAGTCGTAGTGTGAGCAGGCCCCCCACTAGGTGGACCGACGATCTCGTGAAGGTCGCGGGAAGTATACCTTACCTGGATGCGGGCAGCGTAGGAACCGGTCGTTATGAAAATCCTTGAGGGAGGCCTTTGTCCAGCAGTGGACGTCATTTGGCTGAAACGATACATTAGTTACATTACCCTCAATTACGCAATCTAGTCTAAAAATAAACTTCCACGCATCAAAACATTCCTCTGCACTCATTATACTTCTTTTATCAGTCAGGTATACTAAACACTATCTCTTATGTAGTTAGGAATAAGTACTAATTTGAAACAAAATTGTGTAGCAGATAGACTGTACAGTCAGTAGGGTTTCTGATTTCTCGACTTATTTTTTTTCTCGAGTTTCGAGAATTCTCGAGGCCAAAGTCTCGAGTTTTCTCGGGTCTCGAGTCTTCTAATGAAAACTGCTGAAATCGGTTGAAATTTCATAAAAACACAGGTTTTTTTTTAAATCTAATATACCTTCTTTTATGCACTACAATCAATATTAGAATTTAGTACCACTTATTTTGGTAAGGAAAGAAACAAGAAATAAAATCTTCTTTCATAATTAATATTTACTAATAATCATAACAAAAGTTATAAAGTCGCGTGTACTTTAAGGATAAATAACAATAAAAATCTGGAGCTACAATTGAATCACTTGTTTTCTAAAGAACACAAGTCCAAATAGCAAAATTACGATAAATAGTTTTTTTTAAGAACAAAAAAACGATTTAATATTTTTTTAAATTTCTTACAGATAACGACTTGAATAAACTTTACGAGGAGGCACGAGTACCTAACCTAACGTCTGTTAGGTAAAGTTACTGTCTAGTTAACAAATTTTTCAGTCTTTAAATCGGTCAGAGTTAAAAATACATAATAAATATACTCGTTGGTGAACATGAACATTATTATTACTTAGTTTCGATTGAGAAATTAAATCAGTTAAAAAAGTAATTACTAGGCCAGTCTAAAAGCAACGTTGACCTATTAAATAATTTAAAACTTACTTTTGTCTAAGAAAATAGGCTTTCAAGAATATTAAAGCTTCAAAATCGAAACTCGAGAATTCTCGAGCT